TTTATAGGAGTATATTGGGTATTAAATTTGGGTTTAAAAAGATATTAATAGTTTAGTTAAAAATTAAATGGGTGCAAAAAGTAAGTTGGGTGTAAAAATAAGTTAGATGAGTTTAAATAAAATTTCCTTTTTTTAATTTGTAGTTGGCATGCTCCTTAGCTTATATCATTTGGGCTTATTGATACAAATAATTGTTGAAATGAGGTGCAATGCTTCTTCCATGTGTATGCCCTGGGTTTTTATGTTTTATTGGTGTGCTCCTTACTTTTATACTTGAGATTTTTTACATCTTTTGGTTTTGCTAGTTGTATGTTCCCACTTAATCAGTTTTACTGTATATTTGTTCTTTGGTATCTGTCTTCCAACTCAATTTCAATAATTGAGCAAGGCTACTATCAAATGTTATATTGTCTTCATTTACGCTTAGTATTCGGAACCGTAAACCGGCAAGAATCGAACCGGAACCGGAGTAGACCGAACCATACGATTCTAGTAATAAATTTAAGCACAACCACACCAAACCGAACCAAACCGTTGATATTTTCCAGTTCTGGTTCCAGTTTAGGGATGGAACCGCACGGTGCCCACCCTTACTTGCACATTTGAGCAAAACTAGTACTAATAAAACCGGAGGCAGATTGTCTGCCCTCCCTTTCCTATGCCATTTCCATCCCCTCTTATTTGTGCGATCACAGTTAAGCCACGCTAACATTTTATATTAAATTTTTAATAGAGATAATAAAACAAAAAGTAATAGGAATATAAAATATTGACGTGTCTTAACCGTGACCGCACAAATAGAAGAGTATAGGAAGGGTATGGGAAAAGGAGAGCAGACAATTTGCCTCCAATAAAACCATGCAAATAAATTTAACAATATTTAAACTACAGTACCTGAAGGTTGAAGTGACAATAACCGTATATCCTACCAATTGTGACCTTTTGGGCGAAGAAAATTTTTGGTACTTTAGTTAAGGGGAGTACGATTTTGTTGTAAATATGAATACTCTTGTGTCTTTTATCTATTATTTGGTCTAAAAGAATGATCCATATCTTTATAAAATTGTCAAATAAAATGGTTTGGTAAGTTTGTTAGGTTGAAATACATTTTGCCTATAAAACAATCATTCAAGCAAGAGAGGAGATATACACGGCAAGAGAAGAGGAGAGAAAAACAGAAGGGAATTGAGAAGAAAAAAAATACAAGTTAGCTATACCAAGATTAGAGAGGATGAGAGAAAATACTGAGAGTTATTTTGTACTTGTATTATTTTAGATAATTAAAAAAATATTATTGCAGCCCTGAAGACGTAGACACAATTATCAAACTTTTGTAAATACTATGTCTTATTTACCTTATACCTAACTGCGAATTTCATCGATTTCACAACAAATTTACTTTATAACGATATTTGTTTATTTCATGCGTGAATTGGATGAGTTGGAAATGAAATTGAAGCATGCAAATTTGATGTGGTGAAGTGAATGAGTGAAAAAAAAAGAGTAAAAACAGGGAAAAACAGGTCGCAAGTACAAAAACTGACATCCAAACAGAAAGAAAACGTCAATCAACCGAACACGCTTGCTGGACTCCACCGCGAAGCGTTTTTCCAATTCCCTTTTGCTTCTTCAATCTTCAAGGTAAGCCAGAGAAGAAGCAGACGGCTGCCACTCTACTCCCATTTTCCAATTCGATCACACACCCAGGCTTCACGAAGCCGTTTCACCCCCTAGGTATGCCCCTACACTCTGACATGTCAGCTTCTTTGTATTCACCTCAATTTTACTTCTTTACCGCAAATTTCAATTGCTGTCCGCCAGTAGATTCTTGGGTTTTATTGGGTTGTAGCCACAAATCATGAGAACCCGGTTTCTTTCTTTAATTCTTGTTTTTGATCAATTGATTTGGACTAACAAATTTTCAGTATTCTGAAAAAAAATTGGAACTTTTGGTTGGTATTGGAATCTTGATAGTATTGGGTGTTCAATTATGTTGAATTTTGGATAAAGGAAGTGATGGAGGAATTAGGTTACGGATTTGTTTGAATGTGAGTGTTGTTTGTTGCTTGTTTTTGTGTGTGAATAGAGAATGCAGAATCATGATGGGGTCCAAGTGGATGGGGAAGTGGAGTCTGCAGCATCGGTTGCAACACCCGAGTTTGATGAGTGGGTAAATTTTGGGGACCAAGATATCATGCAGCAGCACTCGGCGATTCGAGCAGAGGAGGCTGAGAAAATTCCCTTTCTTGGGGACAAGGCAATACTCAAAAGTCTAGACTTTGTTAACATTCAATGTTATGCAACCGGGTTTTGAACCTTTTGTTGTGCAGGAACCACTCTCATCGCTGGCATCTGAATATCAATCAGGCAGCGCTATCTTGTTGGAGAAAATAAAGGTTTGCTAATTGTCGTCTGCTCTCTAGTTTGTCCTTCCATTCTTTATGATATTAGGTTCTTATGGAACAAATTGTAACTACCCTTTATGCAGGTTCTCGGTGAACAATATGCTGCTATTCGGCGAACAAGAGGAGATGGGAACTGCTTCTTCCGAAGCTTTATGTTTTCTTACCTTGTATGTCCCTTGGAACTGCATTCATTTTTTTATATGTAGGGTGTACCTGTAAGCATGACGCAAGTATGTATTCTGGTCTCTTAGCTGTTAATAAATTTTTGAGCTGTCCAAATAGGAGCATATTTTGGAATCACAAGATCAAAGTGAAGTTGACCGTATCAAGGCCAATGTTGAACAGTGCAGAAAAACACTTCAAAGCTTGGGTTACACAGACTTTACTTTTGAGGATTTTTTTGCGGTAACTTCCTACTTTCACTTTTACACTGTATTGTTGGTTTATTGATTTCTCTTCTTCTATTCCGAATGCATATGTGATATTCAGTAAAGCCACTGGTTTTATGTGTAAGCCTTTTGGATTTGAACATGGCTTGACGCTTTGCAGATGAATAAGTTTTTTGTATGATCAACTATTGGAAGTCACATGATAGCTGATATATATGCACCATATATTTCATGCATTTAGAGAATATCAGCAGGGAATCACATATTTTACTACCCGATTTTCCAGAGCAATTGTAGCCCAAATATAATAGAATTTTAAAGGCCTCGGCATTCACATAAATCTGATCACATAGAATCAAGTTGGACAACCATGCATAGCTAACTCATAGGCCCATGGTTCTATGGTTTGATGCTCAAAATATACGAAAGCTACCAAAGAATTTCATCCATTGAGGGGTGATAAAACCATCTAGAATCTGGTGTCGTCCTGTCATGTGTAAGTTGGTCAGGCAAGATTCAAGAATGATGATACATCTATGCTTTTAAAGAAAATGAGATATTCACTTTCTTACATATAGTTATTTGGTCGACGAGGGGGACTTCATGTCAATTTCAGGAAATAAGGATTTGTTCCAGTTAGTATGTCAGTCACCATATTGTTCCAGTTAGTTTCCTTCCGATCTTTTTCCTGTCCATAAACTTGGCCTGAATTTATAATATCATGAATATCCACTTGTAAAAAAACAAAAAAAACTATGATCTCAAATTCCTGGAAACATTTCAGTTATTCCTTGAGCAGCTGGACAGTGTTCTTCAAGGAAATGAAGAATCCATAAGGTGTGGATAGTTCCTTTACGTGGCTTTTTGTTGACTATTAAATATTGAAAGTAGTTTGATGCTAGTTTTGAGTTGTGTGCCTAACTGTAATCAGCATGATTTGTTATTTCTTACAGTCATGATGAGCTCATACGTAGGAGCCGAGATCAGTCAGTATCTGACTATGGTGAGTGGCTATAAATGAAACAGTTCTTAGTGTGCTGTTTTATCCCGCTACAATTACCTGACACATTTGGTTGGTTAGTTGTGATGTTTTTCAGATTTGTTACCTCTGGCGAAATACGGAAACGCTCAGAGTTTTTTGAACCTTTTATATTCGGATTGACCAATGCAACTGTAGAGCAGGTTTGTTCAATGAAAACTTTTCAACCAATGATTTTATTTGTTCTTTAGTGGTTGACCAAATTATTCAATTCAAGGTACTGCGCAAAGTGTCTTGAGAAAGAATATGAAAATGATTAAATCATATATTATGTAAGATATAGTGATGTGTTTCTCATATGTGATTTTTCTTACTAGTTTTGCAAGTCATCCGTGGAGCCAATGGGTGAAGAAAGTGACCATGTGCACATCACTGCCCTGTCAGATGCACTTGGCGTGCCAATCCGTGTGGTGTACCTAGACCGTAGCTCATGTGATAATGGTGGTGTTAGCGTGAATCATCATGATTTCGTTCCTGCTGGAAGCGATGCTCCAAAAGCTAGTGAGGGCTCTGAGAAAGTGACTCCCTATATTACCTTGCTATATCGCCCAGGCCACTACGATCTTCTCTACCCGAAGTGATGCTCTCACCTGTTCCTGTAAGTACATCTTGCATATGTTCAAGGGCTCTCATTTAGTTGGAGAATGTAACTTTGCTCTGAACTGTTCAAAGTGAGTGAGACCAGGAACACAACATTGCCTGAAAAAAAAAGGGAAATCGGTTTAGGACTGTGCCATCGATAAGAAATTGCAATTTAAAAAGTGGCTGTTGCTTCTGTAATGGATGTTTGCAATTTGAAAAGGAACTGTTGCTTTGATTTCTGTAATGGTTGTTACTTCATTCATGCGCATGCTTAGGGTCATTAAGTCAACTTTATGTCCTATAAATTTAATTCAAGGTCTTAGTTTTTGGTCAAGTTTTACGGTATATGCTGTATCCAAGTCAATTTCTTGCGACGAAAATATTTTGAAAATAAATAAGAAGTGAAAGTAGACGATTAAGTGTTCCGGAGAGATTTACAAGCCGAAGTACTCAATCCCACACAATCTGAGTACTTCGGCTCGTTAATGTAGAAAGTTCATATCGAGCCACAACCCATTACCATAATGTACGAGCGGGTGGCTGTCGATGAGTGATTGGCGGTTTCCGATCAATTACATGAAGCTATGCATCCCATGGAATCCAGCCACACATTATTTGAACACAGAATCCATACAACAATGAGTTTAATTATTCAAAAAAAAAAAAAAAAAAATTAACGCTCTTATGTCTTAATAGTTACAAATGCGTTCCCCCAAAGAACTAAATAAAACATAAACCAGAAGAAAAAAAATTACAAAATGGAGCAGTTATTAACCTCATCGAACCGCAGTTTACAGTCTCTTCTTCCTGCTCAGAAACTCCTGTACATAAATTATATTTTTGTTTCTCTTCAAGTAATTACTCTTTAGATCATCCAAAATTTCGAAGCTCCAGCCGATGCTCCTTCTTTTCGTCTTTTGTGCTAACTGTTTCGGAATTTAAAGAAAAAAGGTGAAAAAAACCTGGAAAATCGCTTAGCATTAGCTAAGCATTTGTCCTCTAAGGTTTAAACGGGCTTGTAAGAAACACCGCAAGATCTTTCCTTGGCCCTCTCTTTAGCCACCCTAAATATGCATCACCGAAGATTCGGGTGGAAGGAAATTAGAATCTTCTGTACTGTAAGGTTAGTGCCCGGGAAAATATGTGGCGCTTAGTCTGACTCCTTAGCAGAACGGGAACCTGCAGATGTCTCTCCATTGCAAGAATGCTCTTCGTCTCCAAAACTTGGTGGACTCCCTACATAGCTCTCCTCATGGGTGACTGCTCGAATTTTTCCCGGTCTTGTGCGAACATTAACCCCCATTGGGAAGGGCACCTGTTGGTCAGGAACTGTCAGCATGTAATCTCTCCATCTTGCGTTAATAACTGTTATCCGCTTATTCTTATTTGGATATCTTTTAAAATTTTGCATTTCCATTTTAAATTTCACCATCCGCGTACCTGATCACCGGCATTTGGGCCATCAGTGTTGAAGAGAATGGGACGGCATCGCTTATCCTCATTCATCAAGCTTGAATTCTGGAAATGTGCAATCAGAGCAGCTTTTCCTTGAATTCGAGCATATGCGAGTGATGCCACCTTCTCACTGTTGAACTTCTCCCATTTCTTCCCGTTGAATGACTGCAACAATTGGACATTCTTTTTAGCTTCAATTTGCATATGCGTTTTATCATTTTAAAGCTTTACAGAAAACAAACCTGATAAAATGGAACGATCATTCGAGGATCAGTCATATTGATGAACGCATAGCCCACATTGCATTTGTTCTGCAACAGATATGAAGACCATGTTCATCATACAGCTACAAGTGTGAGATTATATATCTGCCACAATATCACAGGAAATAATCCACACAGAACGTCACTTGCCTTAAAATCAATTGGCAGATAAATGAAATCGTAAGTTCCTCGATGGCGTTCATCAATCGCAGCCAATAGCATCTTTGAAGTATACCTATCATCATTCAAACACATTGATCCGAGAATTATTTAAGAGCCAAGAAAGTAATAAAAGGAGCCATTAACAATGAACTTTCTTTCTATTCAGAATTACTTACTTGTTGGGAATGTTCTTTATCATAAGTGTTGTTCGGTTGTCTTCTCCTTGCATAATGCGGTCAACATCCAGTTCATACTGTTTCTTATTGTCTCCCTGATTAACCATGCCTTCATTTCTACGACTTCTTGTACGCTCAGCAGGCAGATCAAATGCACTCATGATGGGAATCATCTGGCCTCTTCCAGGAAACATCATGCACCTCTGATGATGGGCTTGCTGCAGTCCTGCATTTTTGTGAGCAATTGGCAGGTCCATGCTGTTTCCACCAACCTGAGGAAACATGTTATGAGAAACAAATTCCATTGAATGTGGTGAGTTATTTGAGATTCTCATATTTCCAAGAGAGCCTGGATGAAACCCAGATGCCTCGGGGGATTCCCCTCCATATGATTGTCGTCTGTCCCACAGAGAAGGATTGACCACTGGTGCTGACCCCACATGATGGTTATGCATGGGCAAACCTGGGTTTAACATATGAGATGGTGCTCTAGGAAGTCCATGAACCCGCGTTGGGGGATGGACTGCAGAAAAGGGATGAGCTGAAGAAAGTCCATTGACAAATGATGGTGAGTTTGGCCATATCATTCCAGGAGGCTGAGGGTGATAGGAGTTGTTCCATGCGTAATGATGTCCAGGAATAGGGCAGTTAACATTGCCGGCAGAGCCAAAAACTGAGGAAGAGAGCAAAACCAGAGGATCAAGATAAGAAAAGATATCAAACTGGAGAAAATTAAAGAAGTGCATAGTTTGTTAATCGTTCACTTACCACCTTCATTTAGTTCATATGAGTGCCCATTGGAGCTTACTCTGGGGAAGTGCCTGTTATCAATTCTTTCTGTTGGTCTGGCATTGATAGATACATTGCCCGGTGAACTGCAGTTGACTGAATTAGTTAAACCATCATGATACTCTGGAAGTGAATGAGGATGGGAAGCTGGCAAGCCATGGATGTCAAATTTCAGCGAGCCTGCTGAATGGACAGACTCAACAAAGCCAGACTGATTCCCAACAGATTCAGCTCTCAGAACAGAAGGTAAGCTGTTAGGAACACTAGAAGAGACCCCATAGTGGAATGCATTTTCAAGGGACGCAGCTTGTGCTGCAGCGTGTACAGCCATGATAGTTCCATTATCTGTGCAACTGGACGTAACTGATCCATGTGGAACTGGTCCTGTTAACGACTCTTTATGAGACCTAATAAAGAGAATCTGTGCTTCTAAACTAGATTCAACGAGGGTTTTTTAGACAAATACTTTACCAGAAAATCCAGTGATAGAGTCAGAAGGGCTAGTCTGCTGCAGATATAGGCCACATTCATCTTGCTCTAAAAAATCTGAAGATAACTGTAGCTCCAAGCTGCAGTGAAAAAAATAATTACCAGATTATAAGAGATTAGTAATTTTCAAACACAGCTTGAGTAAAAAAAAACGCGGAAAATAAATTCAAGCAATGAAGGCAAAGTAATTGTTCTGGGACAATACCTCCGTCTTGCACCTCCAGGACGGCTTGGCTCAAGCTTAATTTGCTTCCCGGCAATATCACTCTTGTTTAAGGCATTAAGAGCAGCGTCTGCAGCTCTAATGTCATAAAATTCAATAAATTTGTTATGACTTCTATTTGGGGTTTCACGGATCTGCAATCCAGGTTCAAGAATGACAACACATTAGAGCTTATGCTTTTGCCATGCACAACTACAAGAAACGGCATGAAATACTCACCTCTTTGATTTCTCCATAGACACCAAAAACCTGGCGTAATTCATCATTTGAAACAGAAGAATCCAGGTTGAATACAACAAGAGTTCCCTGATTAACATCTTTCTCAGAAGGGTTGTCCTGACAAGAGATAACCCAAATAAAGCGATGTATAGACTATCAATGTAAATCCAACTGTATAACAATAATCACGAAAAATACTGACCCTCTCAAAGCAACCACATGCCCGGTAAAATAACAAAGTTATATCGATATCTAGAGGGATAACATCGTGGGTACTCACCTTTGGAATTGAGTAATGTATGTCAAGCTTGCGGCGCCTCAATGGTTTATTCTGCAGTGATTTCATCGCATTACGAGCTGCTCTAATGTCATAATAGGATATCATAACAAAACCGCGATGCTTGCAGGCTGTATAAAGAGTGCGAATATCTCCATATTGCTGCATATTCGAGTTATCAAAATTTCAGTACTCAATGGCCCAAAGAACATGTAATGCTGAAAATGAATACGAATCCCACAACTAAGACGTCTAGCATACCTCAAACAGGGTTCTCAACTCAGAATCTTCAATGTTACTGTTTATATTTCTCACAAACAAAGTCCGGGAAGGGTGTTCACCATAAGGGTGTTCTCCCACTACTGAACCATTGCACGACAGACCATTAGAAACTTCTACAGCATACACAGAGTCCCTTAATCCAGTTGCCAAACCGTCATCTCCCAAATCCATCCCTCCAACACTGCTAAAAAGGTCCAACTCCTCCATATTATCCCTAGCACTCAGTTGGACTGAATAGTCAAGCCCATCGGTAACTCCAGAAAGCAACTCGTCATCATTTGGGAGAAGATTTCCGATGGTTTGGGCCTCAATTTCTTCAAGGGATTCAAAAGCTTCCTCTTCATCATAGTGGGGGGCAACAGTATCAACAGAATGGCCATACAGTGTATTGTTCGACGATAATCTTACTGCATCAGAAGATTTTCATTTTCAACAAAAATCACATAGAAAATAAGCAACAAAACTGAATCAATCAAAGAAACTACAGCCTAGAACAGAGTGGATATCAGCAGAATGGCCATATTGTTTGATAATAATCTCACTGCATCTGAAATTCAACAAAAATCATGTAGCAAATGTGCAATGAAACTGAAGCTACCAAAACAACTACAGCATAGAACACATTAGTCACTAAGAAATTTGAATAAGACTTCATTTAAGGTTCAAGCACATTAGCTGGCATTGGAAACAGAACTGCACGCAAGGAATACTGAAGTCAGAGGGCTTACACTTCCTACTAAATAGCTCCGACAATGAACTTGAAAAAAGGCTACTCTCATACTGAGCTCCCATCATATTGACTTTACCACCTTCTCCAAAATAAGATGCTGTCTCAACATTTACATTAGATCTTGCTCCTGAATCATGGTTCATGGTTCTCGACAAATTCAAGGAATGACTTAAGGCTCTCTCTGCTCCCACTGCCTGTTTATTGAAGCCGGGATGCACTTTCTGGTCTTGCATTATGAAAAATTCGGGATGGTCCAGAGAATTCACTGTCTGACACGTCTCCAGAGATGATGAAGCAAGTGACTTCTTGCTGGCTGTTCAGAAGATTAGAAGCAAAACTCAATTGTCAGAATGAAAGGGCATAACAAATACACTTCTTTTTTCCAGGTACAAAAGGGGCTGACAGCTCTAATTCATACAGTTGTTATTAATTCAGGAATTACTATATAATTACTCATGAATTATCCCAATAGAACTTGAGTTATTAGTTGTGACCGAACTTAGCATTGAGGGCGCACTATGTGACACCCTATTTAATTATAGGCTATTAGGCATGAACATGAAAAATTTTAAATGCGTTAGCAAGAGTGAAAACATGGACTCTTCTAATCCATAATATTAGATTCATGGGAGAAAGATGTTTCCGAAGAGGCAAAAGGTTATGAAATTAATATTATCCACACCAAGAATCTCAGATGGAATTCAATCAACATTGTAGATCTTCAACTAACTAGCTCAATAGCAAATTGTTACTGCAATCATCCTCTCATTTATTCCTCCACTCCTTATATATATCACTGCAATCATCCTCTCATTTATTCCTCCACTCCTTATATATATCACTGCAATCATACATTTCATCATGTGGATCGACACCATCAGGTCGTGCTCCTCCTATCGCCTACTCGAAATTCGGAACTATTTCACTTAACAATAAAACATACCCTCACATTAAAATCCCTCTCAACACCACATATCCATATCCTCCATCTCTTTTCAGGGAAGGTAAGAATAACTTCTGAAAAACTCAAGGTAGATCCAGTTACTGGATAGGTACCTAAGATGATTACTAGAGCTGATGGCACAAAATTACTTTCAGTATGAACACAAGTGGAAAATTCTGTACTGAAATGGTAATATAAAGCAGTAACGGAAACTTCTTGACAGGTTATAACTGTCAGGTAATTTGTCACAGCTATGGATTAATTGCGATGACATCTTAGACTCTTAGTTCAACAATATATGGTAGTTAGTGGTCACCAAAAACAAAATATTTCTCACAATTAATCATTAACAGCCTCTAACCGAAGGGTTTCTAGTGAATGGTTTAGCAACAAGTTTGATAAGAATTAAAGGGCAAGACTGCAAAAGTATGCAAGTTGTGGGCCAAAATGGTAAGGCAGCAGTTATAGATTGATGGTACTGACCATGATTATCAGGCAAGTGATCTGACTTCCAAAACCCACCCTGCCTCTGCCAAAGTTTTCAATACATAGAATAAATAAGACTAGAACTAAACAGTAAAAACGAATTAATAAAACCTCGTTAATATGATAAAACTGCGAATTCACTCAATTTTACTGCAGATAGGAACAGAAGGATGCACAATTGTTGATTCCTTACTTCATCGGAGAAGAACGACGAGGAGGACAAACCCTTGAGGTCCATTATCTCAGATGGCATGACGAAAATTATACTGCACAAACCAAAAATATTTCAAAAAAATAAAAATAAAAAGAAGCTGCATCTCCAGCAGCCACGTCTAGATACCTATTCAGAATTCTCCTTCCAGCATTTAAAAAAAATTATGGCACGCCAAAAATCACAACACACTTTGACAATTTCGATTACGCTTCTCCGAAGTACGAGTTTGGGTGAATTTATGAGCTGGAATTCAAGGGGAAAACAGTCTACAAGTGGAATGAGCTCAAGATCTCGAACAAATGCAGCTCAATTATGACGAATTCAGAGAAATTCAAACCGCATTTAATAAAAAGAAAGATAGAAATGCAATTCAATCGTAAATACCGAATCCAAAACAATCACGCAATTCATTTAGTACCAAATCCGCAAGCAATTCACACGAAGATCAGCGAGATCACGAACAACAATAATTAAACAACAACAACAAAAAAGGAAATTTAAATCACTCAGGCGAAAATTGAAGGAGGAATTCAGCTCACCTGTGAAGTTGCAGATTGCAAAATCGAAGTCCGAGCTGCTCAGCTGCCGAAAACGCCAATCAAACGACGAACAGCCAAACTCGGACGTTGAAATCGCAATTGGAGTCCGGACCAGACAGAGGAACAAAGAGAGAGAAAGCCAGAGATGGAAGGAGGAGAGAACGAGAGGGGAATTTAAAACGAGGATGCAGAGGAGGTGGAGGGAGAGACGAGGAGGATATAAAAAAAGGAATAAATTACGGCATAAGGCAAGGGGATTGGAGAAGGGATCATCTAGGCATCTGTGCCGTGTAAGATCCTCTTAAGCTTCTTTGATGCTCTTTTTCCCTGCATTGCACGTTAACCTTTTTTTTTTTCTCTTCTTGTCTTTATGCCTTGTTCATTCTCTTTGCTGCACGTTTTCTCCTCCCTCTCCTGCTCTTTCAGCTCCGCCGGTCATCGGAATCTATGGAATTCTCCGGCGAGATGCGGAGCCCTCTCGCCAGAGAGAAAGCGAAAGAGAAGGATTTTGGGGTTTTTTTTTTTTTTTTTTTTTTTTTTTGGGTTTAGTGGATTCTTCTGTTTTCTTCAGGGCGAACGGAAGAGAAATAGAAAACCGGACAGACTTGGACCAGGCTCCTAAAAACACGAGAGAGAAACGAGGGGGACGTGGCCGTTAAAACTGTTTAACGGCGTTATACCCCAATCCGTTGTGTGGTATCAGTAAAGGAGGGCCTTGCTGGTTTGCAACTCTCTCTCTGTCGATGCCACGCTGGCAAAGTGGGGAGAGAGATTGATGCCTTTGAGCATATGTTGAGCCGGTATTTTGTGTGAACATCTACAAAAGAGATGTCAAAACTGTTGTATAGATATATAACAATAAAAAATGACAGTAAAGGTTTTTGTAACCAAGTGTAGAGCTGAATCAATTGAAGGTAAAGTTCTTTGGCGTCATTTTTTACACTACTGTCAAAATGATTTAATGATTTTGTTAATAGGTTTGATGCAATTCATAATAAGCGTTGTTGTGTGTATGAAGTATTTGATTAATTGTTTTAATAATTAGACCTCACGAAGAGATGAAAAAAATTACAAAATGACATTCTTATTTAGCATATTTGGTGGGAGCAACAAATTGTACACACTGTCAAATTGCCATATAAATTATTAAATATCATTTTGATGTTTTATATTTGATATCTCCTTTAGAGATGTCTAAAATGATGAAATGCTAATCTGTTTTGAGATTGGTTTTGTTGAAACGGCTATTACTTTTCAGGTAATTTGTTGAGAGGGACAAACTGGCTAAGGGATTTTGTCTCTAAGTTCTGCAAGGACACGTGATCCGGCCAGACTCCAGACTTTTTATTCGGGGTGAGCAATTTAGCAGGGGAATTAATTATGACATTGATTATGTGTCATAGCATTGTATTATTAGTTAAAAACACTACAATGATAATATAAATGTTACATGCCAATCTTTTTCTAAACCATGACACATCGAAATACTATGACACATCAAAACTTAATGAATATAACATTTGGTGTATACTAAATAAACTCCATTGAGAATCTTTCATTGAGCATCTGGTGGGCACATTCCAATAGATGTCGACTATTATTGTGACTTTTAGAGGCTTATTGAGGATAACGGCAGGAAAATGTCAAGTATTATTGAACACTAACAAAGCTTTCAGCAAAGGCATCTCATCAAGCTCTTGGTCGCACAATAAAGTCACACACAAAAGAGAAAGCGAAGACAAATGAATGATATAAGAAAATAGATGAGTAAGGAGGAGGAAGACGTTCTAATTCAGTTTATTTTTACCCTATTAAATTTGCCCTAATTGTTTATAAGGATAAACACAAATACACAAACAAATATACATATGGTTGTGAAGTTCGCATTATGGCCCTGCTACTATTATAACATGTTTAATACTTTTCAACTAATTGAGAGCAAGTCCACTGGGGCTTGCTTTGCCCAGCCCTCAGCACAAAAAACAACCTGGCCCTCAGTCAAATTGCTCCAGCCCATAAAGTTGCCTGGCACCCAGCCCATGCCAGGCAACAGACCAGCCCAATTTTGACTGACCCAAGAGCTGGCCTATTTGGCTGGCGCGTGCACAACACTCGCGCCCAGGGCGAGTAGCCGACAAGAATGCAGAGGGCTGTCAGCCCACTTGTGCGCCAGATTTCATGAGTGACGCGGCACGCTCATAGCCGTTGGATTTCCAACGGCTAGTTTTTCTAGACCGTTGGATTTCCAACGGTAAAAAAAAATTAAATTTTACTTTTAAAATAGACCGTCCGATCACAGATCAACGGTCCACGTTAATTAACTAAATTAAAATTTATTAAAAATATTAAAAAATACAGAAAATTTAAAAAAAAAATTCTATAAATACCTAACTCTCATCTTCCACCTTACACCACATTTCAATATTTTCTACACTTTCTACCAAAGCTTTCATATACTTTTTGTGTGAAAAAAAAAATACCAAAAAGCTTGTGGTTGAAGAACAAAGTGTATTTGATGAGTTTATGTAATTTCATTTTAGTGTGTTTTTTTTTTATAGTTTATTTGATGAGTTTATGTAATTTTATTTTAGTGTGTTTTTTTTAAGTTTATTTGATGAGTATGTAATTTTATTTTAGTGTGTATTTTTTTTTAAGTTTATTTGAAATTTTATCTGAAATTGGTTAAAAATCTTATCCGAAATAAACTTAAAAAAAAAAACACACCAAATAAATGCGTTGGGTGCCAGCGCATTTTTTTAGGGGTGAAGATGCCTTGGCCTATTGCTGTTCACTCCAGTTTATTACTGTTCATTTAAGTGGATAAATGCGCTAGGTGCTGGCGCAAAGTCCTTAGGGGTGGACTTGCTCTGAGTGGTAATGGAGAGTAAGGCGATGGGTTCAGACTAGGATGGTTAAGGTTTGAATCTCCCAATAAATAGTACGAGTTATCCTTTTTTGTGTTAGTGATGTGAGTAAATTTCAGAATTAGTTCATTAAATTTGATTTGGTCAATGGACTCAGGATTCGTAACTCGATTACATGAAATAACATGACTTCTAACAAAATTCACAATTACTAAGGGGGTGTCTTCAATTGAGAATTTGAGAGACTTTAATGGATTTTTATGAAGTTTAGTTAATTTGTAGAAATTCCATATAAAATTTTGATTCAATTCCCTCGAAATCTCATGGGAAGATATGATATTTATGGATGCTTAAAATATATTACAAAAATGTGAGATTTATGGATGCTTAAAATACACTATGAAATATCTCTAATTCCCTCTAATTCCTCAACTTTCTCAAATTCTTTAAAATCAATTTCTAATTGAATACACTTGAAATGTTATAAACTTCTTTTACAATCATAAGTGAATACTATCTTCAAACTCTAATTAAATACACTTTGAATTTTTTATTTTTTTTTGGTCAATAATACACTTTGAATTTTAGAGAATCACTTAAAATCCTAATTCAATACCCTTAGATTCATTAAAAGAATTAAAATCCCTCAAAATTGAAATTGAATACACCCTTCTAAATTTTGCTTTGGCAATTGAACACATATTTAAAACTGGATATGAAAAACTCACATGTGATATATAATATCATACTAACATAATCTTTGTCAAAAGTTAACGTTAACCTAAAACAATAATGCCCGTTATGTAAGTTTAAAGAACCATTCAAAATTTATCTCTATTAATTTTATATTATCATAAGTATTGATCTACTCATAATCGAAAGAAAACCGTCACAAATATAAATAGGTGTATCCAATGTGGTCCATTGCATCCACTTCTGGTTGCGTTTGGTAGCAAACGGAAACGGGAAACGCTCCTTCCCTCGCCTGGAGATGCGTGCGCGGTTTAAACCGTGACCGTCATGGGGAAAAACTGGTCTCCTACAACATTAAACACGCTGTTATTTCCGGTTTTGTGGACGAGAAAGGTACTTTACGATTTAACAGACACGCGTCCAGCTACTACTGGCTGTACATTTTTCAGTACATTGATATTTTTACACTAAGAGGACGAGGAGGAGTTCAACTAATTTATGAGCAGCTTAAATCGGTATCGAATTCGCTATTCACAAGATTCAAACTTAATACCTCTCACTTTCAAATAAAGAAAAATATCATCAGTTGTTTTCTTTTCGCAAAATGCAATCAGGATTCGCTTTACCTGATAAAATGGCGGCAGGCATAATGGCATTGGCAGTTAAGTGGCCATTATAGTACAAACAGAAAACGTCACCCCTCTGCTCCGATGGACGCGTGTCCATATATGCGTTTGCCTATCATTTCGTTGATGGGAAATTACTAAAGAGCTCCCGAAGAAAGTATGATTAGCATGCGATGTAGTTATCGTGACGTCTTCAATGTAGGATCGGAAGGACTTTTACCGTGGGATTAGCATTCCAGAGAGAGAAAATCTTCAGTTGCAGTGGCACTCTCATGATCAAGCAGGGCCGTCTATGTGGGATTAGCTGTAAAACTAGGAGACACAGGTAGTGTTACTTCAATTGCATAACCATTCAATCGTGGGGTGCATACATTTATAATCTCTTTCAGATTACAAACAGGGTTTGAAAACCCTACTTAAAAGGAAGTTTACAATTCAAAAAATACAAAACTGAAATCTACAGAGATTACACGCAGCTTTAGTTACAATAATAATTCAAAATGAAGTCCTACAAACAAGGAGATAAGACTTCTAAGCACAGCACAACTCCTCAAGAAACGTTGGTGGTATCCAACTGTTGACTTCATCTAACATTAGCATGCCATGTAGTTATCGTGACTTCTTCAATTAGTGATATATTAATGGGTACTTTGATTGAATTAGTGATATATAAATTCATACTAATATATATACAGTACTGATATATACAGCACTTACAACATAGATTAGTTTAACACAGTTAAACTTGTGATGGAGGTTGAAGAAAAAAATTAAAATACGAATTAGGAGCAGTTAAAAGAATGAACAATATCTAACTCTAAAATTGGTACCAAAATATATTTTCTTTAATTATTAGTTAATTCCAAAGTAAAGTGGAATGTCCCGTTTAACAAAAGGCATCAAATTATAAACTATATTTAAAAATCATAAACAAAAACCAAGAACCTTTCATGCTCGTCGGAAAAGCGCAAGATTTTTTTTTTTTTAGATGAATACATATTTGTGAGTTGGTAAATTCTTTTGATTGTATAAAGTACATAGAGAGTCGGTTGTTCTAAGTTGGGTCAGTGGACCAAAGAAGTATAGTTTCCTCTTTACGTTGTAATTCCCATTTAAATTCTCATTTTTGTAAATTACGATAGTATCTCAAATCGTAATTTTTGTATATTACGATAGTGATGTTGTCTTGTAAATGGATATGTACAGTTGTAGGTACATTGACGACCACAACTTTGCTACACGAGATCAGCATGAGTACTTCCTCATTTGTATGTATGTGGTCCTCTTGACCCGGTCATAGACTTGATCAGCCGTTACAGCTCACTACTCAGATGCATGTGTCAATGGAGGATCAGGAAATAATATTA